GATGAAAAATTTTTAAAATTTTGTGTCAATTTTTTTTTTTTTTTTTTCAAAAAAAAAAAAAAAAAAAGAGTGGATGTTCTGGTAAAATGTTCTCTCCATCTCCCAGGCTTGTTTATATAAAAACTGTTTTACTTGAATGGTAAGTGCCTTAACATGTAAGCTTAAGGTCTGCAAAAATTTGGAAGTTATAGATCGATATGAAAATAATACCTAAACCTAGGTAGTTAACATGAAAATTCAGATAATAATAGGCAACTCAAATAGGTCGTAACCTTGTGCTGTTTACTTCAGGTGGGCCAGTTATTTAGAGACCTAATCTTATCTTGATGAAATCGTAATTTCCAAATTGAAGTTCATGAGAAACGTTGAAAGTGAGGAGAAGAATGAAGAGTGTAGTTTTTCCTCGGCTCCCTCTTGGGGTTGTAGTAAATGTTTTAGTTCCTCTGCCAAATAAACTATACTTTATATGTCCCTACCAAGTGATGAAATAGTTTTTTCACTTAAATGTCAACAGCAGTAATTACTTTGCTTTGTGTGAAAAGCTGACACTGTCATCTTTTTACCACAAATACTGCATTATAGGAAGTAACCAAAGGAAAAATGACCAGTATTTAAAGCAACAGCAAAACGTTTGACACTAGTTCTAATTCTCTGTAAACTTGTGATTGTGCCAATTAATTGATTTTATATCTGCTATTCCACAGCACACTTTAATATTGGAATCGAGTCTCTCTGAACAACTGATAAAATGACTGTGGCTAAAACTCTTACCAAGAGCCACTCCTCATATTAATTACAACTTCCGGCATGTTTCTTTTTTTCCTTTGACAACAAGTGGTCTCTCTCCTGCAGAGAGGAGGTATGGTTATATTTTGCATGTACGTAAAAGAATGTTTTAAAGCCCATATTGGAAACAATTTTCCAACTGATTATCCAGTTGACAAATCGGTACCTTATGTAACTGAGTGTTTAATTATTACTTTTTAAAAAGTAAAATTTCTACTTACACTATTACAAACGTAGTCTTGTCAGTGACTTTTTGGATTTTCAGAATAGAAACCAAAGTTGTTGGCGTTTTATTTTGTTTTAGTTGAAAATCCTGGTTCGTATATGGCTAACTACCACATTGTGTAGAGTATGGAGAAACTCCCTTCGCTAACTACGTAGCGTTTGAGGATCTGGCAAATGAGAAATGGAGAGAGAGTCGTGCTGCTTACAGTGTCCCTGTGAGCCTGGCAGTTGCCTTCACTAGACACAGCAGAAAATCCTGCGATCTGAAAATAAAAGCGGCCCCGTCAGAAACAAATAGTTACGACCTGAATAGCTTTGTGCTTAAGAAAAACAAAAGCTTCATGTGTGAATGACAGCGCATTGGATAGTTTCCCTTGAGTAGGGACGCCCCCGCAGCGTTTTTCGGCTAGTAAAATTTTAAAGGCAAAAATCGTTAGTGTCATTTAGATACGGACCGTGTCAGATAATAAGGCTTTTTGTTTACTAATCTTAAAAAAAGCAATCCCATGGGGATAGACACGGATTGCTTTTTTTTTGGAATCGAGCAAAAGACTTTCCAAGCTCTTAGGCAGTTGCTTTCACTAAGAATGTGCAGCCTGGGGTTACTCTCCTGCACTTCAAAAATGTCACTGCAGGTGACAGCTGGCTAAAAAAGCAGGTAAGTTCAAATGGAAGGTAGATCTCAGAGGACTAAATGATTTGACTTCCAACACAAAAATGCAAGGAAGACGTGTCTCCTACCGCTTCTCTTTTGGAGGTAAATTTTCAAGTCGTTCAGTTCACCTCATTTAATGCAGAGCAGTCGGTCCCCTCTGCACGTGCGAGCGACAGTGCAGTTTCCTTACGGGCTGGCAGTACTCTGACATTGCATCGTTCCGCCGAAATGGGTTTCAGTCTTCGGCAATGGGGGAGAAAAAATAAAAAAACCAAAAACCCACCAAACAAAAAACAACCATCACAATTAATCCTGACTGTGAGGAGAGAGAAGGAGATGCGATGCGATAAGACAGTTGACTTCCAGATGAATCAGAAACAAAACTCTGGCACGCTGTGGCAGGTGCCTACTGCACAATGACTTTTCCCCAGGTTCAGTTTAAGGATTACTACTAGCCTGTGACTTTGAACACTCTGTTTGCCCAGGACAACAGTGTTGGGATAATTTGGAGGGAAAGTTAACGTACTTCCGTATATGATAACTCTGAAGAGATTACCTTCCCGGCAACCTGGGAGATCTTCTTGGCTCTTTTCGCCGACAACCTTTCCTCCTGGGCAGGTAGCGGCTGCACCTGGGCTGTGTGTGGGTGAGGAGCTCTGCCCTCCCTCTGCAGGGCAGCCCGTGGGGTGCGTGGCAGGAGGATTTCTCCCCGCAGCTGCGCTCCCCTGGCCCCGGAGTTGGCATCTGGGCAGGTTAGCAGCCGGGGAACTGGCCGGGTCTAAGGACTGTAGGTCCACGTTCATTTGTACCAGACCTGTGTGTTCCCTGTCAAAATTTCTTCTGAATTAAATCACGTGATGAGGTGCTTATGTCAGTTCAGAATTTTACCCTCTTGAACAAATTTCGCTCGGCAGAGAGAGCCTGTACTAGTTTGGCATTTTACATCATGTGCATTTTTGATGCAGTAGTAGACATTCTGAAAACCGCGTTACTTTTCTCCATTCCTTTGGGTTTACATTTTCTGTGCTGAAATTCCAAAGTGTGCTACAGAGACCTGGACACTACATCGAAAAGTAAGTGTTGTGTGTTTGTATTTCTAAATAAACATAGCAAAATACTGTAATCATGGACTATCAAGTAGCAAGTACTTCATTATTTATATTAAGTGGTCTTTAGCCATACCAAGAGGAAGAAAGCGAGCACGACTGGACTGCTATGACCATGACTTAAAACGCTTAACTATTACAATACTTAAAATCAGCCAAAGGAAAAGGAAACGGCTTTTATCACAGGTCGCTAGTTGTTGTTGTTAACCTTGAACAGAAGGAGCAGTGTTAGGGAAGAGGTGTAAAAACGCGTGTATCCCTAAATGTTAATATAATTTCTTGGAAAAATAATTTTAAAATGGCAGACTATATTTTCTTATCTTTCCATGAAACATGGTCTATGTTAAATTTTCTCCATGCCACAACAGTGTAAAGCGCTTTCTAGAAGCGGAGGCGATAAGTGCTGTAATGTAAGTTCTTACGGTTTTGAGTGCTCTTCTCCTTTTGCTTGGTGCAGGAGGCAGTTTCGGTTTTGGTGAAGTTTACAGTTGGGTGAGTTTAATAGGTAATTGTGCGGTAAAAACTGAAGTACTGAAGTAACATAGGATACCTCTTGTCTGCGGGCAAATTAGATCTCAGACCATGAATTCTGTTTCCGAGAGAGAAAAATCTCAGATGTATTTCTTGCATTCTTCTTTTCGTTAATAAAACACGCAAGTGTTCTACATACAACATTTCGCCAGTCTGTTCTGTTACACTGTTTTTTACGTGGGGAAGCTCTGGCTATTTCCCTTCTTGATAGTTTTGGGATGTTCTGTGTACGCCGAAGCGTGTCATGAAAGTAAGGAATCGCTGAATTCTGTATTTAAAAATGAAATGACCTTGGGTTGACTTAAAATCAAACTAACTTTTGCTTATCAGGGTGAAGAATACTTTCTTGCAGGAGTTATTTCAAGACAACCTAATTTAAAATAATTAAACTGTTATGCTTCAGCTTGCTTACTCTTTGTTATTTTAAGCCATTTGTATATAAAATGTATTGTGCGGCCTGTAAATAAAATACATGAAAACTTGCAGTCTTTCATTGTTTTCCCTCTCGGGCTGTCAAATGGCATTTCGGTTAAACTGAGGTGGTTTTTTAGCATCCAAACGAATAGAACTTCCAGCATGTTAAAATTCTGTAAGTTATTTAAAAAAATATTTACTGCTCCAGTACTTTTTTTCAAAGAAAAACCACAACCCCTGGCGGTGCGAGGGCGTCCTGGCTGGAGCAAGGTGCAGCGTAGTGCGGTACCCGTGAGCACTGATGCTGCTGTTTCCAGCACCTGGGGGGAAAAAAAAAAAAAGCGTGAGCTTTTCAGGACGGTGGGCTATGTGTAACCTGACATTTTTTCTTGGTGCTGTCCAAGCAGAGGTGCAGTTAATCTTCCCCACCACCGCCTCTTTGAAGAGGAGCGTGTGTGCATTAGAAGCAATGGGCAGTCAAACCCACAGAGCCGTCAGCCAGGCCATGCGCGTACGCTGCTGGTGAAGTGCTGTAAATTGAGCGTGGCTTCAGCAAACACGCTTCGAATGCCCTGGGCTTCTCTGCTTTTCTCCTGCTGTGTCAGCTAGTCTAATGAAAACAGTTGCATCTGTCGATAAATGCTCTACTTCCATCCAAAAATAGCCACTTGCCGTATCTTCAGTACTCTTAAACTCCAGGCTGGAGGGACTGCTGCTGTCATCGCTTCGATGACTTGTCATTGATAAAGTCAGAAGAAGGGCGGTGAAGGGGCAATAGGAAGGTGCGCAGGCCAGCAGCAGTTGTGTGGGTGTCCTTTGACATCGGGCTGGCAAAACAGGTAGCTGAAGCCCGAAGCGGCTGCTTGCTTTGGAGACAGCGTGGGGCAGCAGCTCCAGTGAAAGCCTGCGTCTTTCTTCTGGTGACCAGTTCAGGCCGTGTTGCGTAGGATGGTGACCCACGCAAAGCCCATCAGACGGGTGCGTGGAACAGTTTCTAGCTGTCTGCTCAGTTTTTTCTCGTTAAAGCTGCTATTGCAGCTGGTAACATAACTTGAAGTTGGCTCTGGTTTATGTTGGGGTATGAACCTGTAGCAGTTTGGGAACGGTGCCTCATCCCATTCATTCAGCTGTTAG